TGGGAGGGTCAAGGACTGGTGGATCCTTATTCCCTGGGGTGATGGATGAGAGAGATGTGAATGGTGGCGATGGGAGGCACTTTGATGATGGGGTTTTTGACTTCACTGGTGATATTGATTGTATTAGTAAAATTAGGGTTGAAAAGGACACTAAACATTTGACTACTGAGAGGCATAAGAGAGTTCTTCTCAATGACAAATTCATGGCTTTGAGGAGCTTGGTTCCTAACTCCACCAAGGTAATCACTTTAATTCCCTTATAGTTGTTGAAATTCTGTGTTTTGACATATATATGATCTAGTATATGTACACATTTGCAACAGATCAAGAAATTTGAAAGGGATTTTAAAGTTGTTTCATTGAGAAGAATTGTCGAGAGACTTCTAATTTTCATCGCGAAAAGTGAAATTTCTTGTAGAAAGATATTTAGATTTAAGATATTTATTTCAAAGTATGCACAAAATATGCAATCTTGTTCATTTACATTTTGCAAGTGATTTTAACAATTTGACATTTTTGTGAGAAAACACAAGAAAGATAGAGCCTCGGTTGTGGGAGATGCTATCGAATACATAAACGAGCTTCAGAGGACAGTGAATGAGCTAAAAGTGTTGGTGGAGAAGAAGAGATGTTGTAAGGAGAGGCTCAAAAGGGCCAAAATAGAAGATGATACCATGGAGGGGAATATTGACACACAGTCTGTAGATGATATGAAGCAGCCTTATAATGCCTCATCCTTAAGAAGCTCATGGCTCCACAGGAAATCGAAGAACACCGAGGTGGATGTGCGCATTGTGGACGATGAAGTTACTGTCAAGCTTGTTCAACAGAAGAGAACCAATTGCTTACTCCTTGTATCAAAGGTTCTTGAGGAGCTTCAGCTTGATCTTGACCATGTTGCTGGAGGCCTAATTGAGGATTACTATAGCTTTTTGTTCAACTCTAAGGTACTTTTAGTAAATTCTTTCATCTTCATTGATCTCAATTTATAATCTGATCATAAAGTTAATAAGATTTTGGTACGATTTAATGTCATTGTGCAGATCTGTGAAGGTTCGATTGTATATGCGAGTACGATAGCTAACAAGCTTATCGAATTTGTGGACAAGCAGTATGCAGCAATTCCACCAACTAATAGCTATTATGCATGTATACATGTAGGAGTCTTTTAATTATAATATAGCACTTTTTTAGTACTTATTTTGATCTAAAACAGTATTGAGAATAACAACTAATTAATTATTGAATTGGGAATTATGCTTTATTTTGACTGGTATAGACAGCAGAAGATTGATCTGAATAGTAAGTTGCAGTTTTACTCCAGAAGAGTAGATCTGATAATAAGTTAGTTTCAAACTTTGAACACATATGTACAGTTACTCAATATGGGCTTGCAAAAAGTACATGACCTGCAGTCTCACGGTTGCAGCTTAACCATGTCTTCAGTTAACCATAGTTAAAGTTCCACAGATATAAAATAAAGTGAGGTTCGGGTCTCTACCTACTTAAATATCTGAATTTGAATCCTAATTAATTGATACAAATCGTCAATTTTGTCAATTTCGAGGCTAAAATCGCAAACGACTTTTACCCGACTAAAAGTTGGAGGTTAAGTGGTTTTGTCACCCAACTTCAAATCACATAAAAATCGTATGCTACTTTAACGTTTCGATTCACAAACTGAAATGAAATAAGAGGTACCAGGCTAGCTATCATAATATTGAGTTATTAATGGGACGCTTTTAAGGGTAAATCAGTTGGAAAAATTGAGTGATTTGTGTGTAGATTTATTTAACAATTAACACAATAAAATGAAAAATACAATTCAAGAATAATATAACATAAAATAGAGAAAAGATTTAGAAAACAAGCCTTAGAAGTCAAGTCGAGAACGTTGTCCTAAAGTCGTGTTGCCTTCCCTTCGTACATGTTCTTTCGACATTACATAGCTTCAAGAAATAACCCATGTAACTCTCCTTCAATGGGTACGATCATAGGGAGATAAGTGAACAAACCTCACATCAAGTTGTTACAAACTATATAAATATAGTATAAAATACAGATGTAGTATTTTATTTTCTTAGTATCTCAAGTTCATTTTCTCAAATGAAAGAACTCCCTTTTATAGGGATAAATTTAACCCCACAATAAAACCATTAAAATATAAGTTACCATATGTTTTAATTTTTATGTTAAAACTTAAAATTAAAGTGCGTTAATTTTTTTTAAAGGTTGAAACTTAAAATAAGTTACAACAACCCCCCACAAGTTTTAAGCTTTCAAAATAGAGAAATATATATATATATATATATATAGTGGCAACATTATTCTATGTAATAGGTGTAGGTGTTTTTTGAATTTGAACCTCACTTATTAATAACAATTTTCATTTAAAGAAGTGATGATGGACTAAGCCTTGAATTAGGTCTCTTTGGTCAAATGTCAATTGTTCCACACACGGTATTGATTTAGGCTCAGTTTATAGAGGGTAGCGTTGTTAATAGTCATGCGCTCTAATCTTGATTATAATAAGAGTTTCTAGGGAATAGCCCAATTCCATAGCCACAACCTCATGGCAACTCTTATATAGGTGAGTCCTCCAAGGATGCGTGTGACCACACGTCATGAGAATTCTCGCCTCGATACTCATTCAGTGTTAAACCCTTTCTAACATCATATTTATTAGCACTATCACTATAGGGATGAACACAATATAAGTAGTGCTATTACGAGTCACGCAGTACGGGTTGTTTCTGCCACATTGAACTCTATTCATGGGATCTCCAATCACAAAGGTTGGGTTACTCCCGGAGGTCACTCCCTTATGGGTTTAAACTCATCCCCCTCGATGATTTATGTATGTCCATTTTGGACTATATATATTCATGTCCCTCTTGGACAATAATTTGGTACCATAATATTTGCAAAGCTTTTCTTCTTCACTTTCCCATCTGCATATCTGCAAAGTCTCTTATGAATTTTTCAAAATGTCAATATTACATATATAATCACAATAAGATAATTTCATGATATTGGCTTCTAGTAACATGTTTGGGGAAATGCATCCATTGAGCTCTTACATTTCACGTTCGTATTCCGAAGATATCCATCGTGTGGAACTTCTTTGAAAATTTTCCATGTCTACAAGCACTTCTAAACATTTCACAAAATATTAGTGTCACAATAAATGAGAATAACTTAGATAGATTTAAATAAAGTATAACATTTCGATATTCATCCAACTTCTCTCCGAGCATTAACCAAAGAAATGAAAACTATATTAAATAGTTTAATACCACCAAATTTCAAGGATATCTAACTTGAATTGAGTAAATATATGATGTTACAATTTATCTCTTTTGATAGGATTAAACATAGTGAGGAGATGATTGATGCACATGTTTATCAACTCACACTTTCATGACTTCTATCAACCAATATATAAACAAATTCTCCTTTAAATGCATTTGCAAAATATTAGTCATAACGCTAAAGAATTGTCACCGTGATAAACTAAATAAAAAATTAAACATCAAGAAATCACATCGTTTTGTGAAAGAAATAAGTGAAAGGTACTGCAAGTTAGAAACAATTCTCCATTCACTCATTAAAATTATAACCTTCGAAAATTAAGTTCTCAAATATACATTGTGGTAAAATTGGTAGTAAGGAAGGTGTAAAGAAAATAGGGACTAATAAGTACCATTTTTCTTTATGTACCACATTTGTCCTATAACCGAGAAGACTCTTAGAGTGACTCGATAAAATTTAAATGCTTGAGAAAAACTCCCCATTTCATATATTAAGCCTTGAATGACTAATTCATGAGAATTAAAGATGCATTAATGCTAGTTAGAGCTACAATTTCAAGCCTTTTAAAAGAATAATAATTTCTACCTTAAATGTTTTACTTTAATTTTCCGAACAAAGAAATACCCTTTAAAGAATGTCATGAGACAACCCAAAAGAAGTACGATAAGATGCAGTTGCAATGTGTATGAAATAACATGCTCCAAAATAAGAATCATATAAACTCTATTGTGCAATGTGTATGAAATAACATGCTCCAAAATAAGAATCATATAAACTCTATTGACATTACCAATCCACCTTAAAACGATAGAAGCAAAAAATAGAACATATTAATTATCAAAACTTCATTTGATGGTTCCATTAATTATCAATACCCTCGAAAACGGCTTGAGGATATTGTCACGAGTATTTGAAGGTAAATAATGCCTAGTTGATGTTTCTAGGAATGCAGGAACTCAAAAGGAAATTATATATCGGGCCTTTGCACTTTTTTGGAGTAATTACTGGAAAAAGAATGATACAACCAGACGTGCCAAAAGTTCTAATAAAGCTAGATAAAGAATTAGGATCTACCAAATTTCAAACATAGAAAACAAGGGGCTAATCTTTATTTCTTTCCTACATTAGAACTCAAACAGTTAATATTAAAGAATTCCATTAAGTTTAAGAACTCAACTTGTTTTCTCAGAAAGCAGTGTGATTACACCGAGGATCAAAACATGAGGAGCATCCCAGAGTGCTCGAAGTTATTCATGTGAGACGGGTTCAAGATTCCATGGACAAAGATATGGAGATGAGTCGAATATAGAAACTCAATACACAAATCTATGAAACCTCCAACTAATATGAAATAAAGCTGCAAGTACTTAAGCCGTCCATCAAAACCAGGAACAGGGTTCCACACCCTGACCCGAAAAGATTTAGGATACGATACATATCTGGCTATAGAGCTCCACATGTGCCACACCCCAACCGAAAGAAACAGCGTCCCGGGAAGGACATGCCCACGAAAAGAACCCATTTTTCCTCAACTATGAACCTAGGGTCCTAGACCAAGATCTGATAACTGCTAAAGAATGACTTTAAAGAACCAAGTTTCTTCGTTTCTTGATCACTTCTCTATGGAAATTATTGAAATTGCAAATTACTAATCAAAGAAATTGCCATAAAATTGAAGCACTTCTAAATTGCCGCTTTGCTCAATATTTCAACAGTAATTTTTTTTAATTTTTTTTTCTCTCCCCATTTTTTATTTGATTGTCACTTGCACTCATCTTAATAATCAAAATTGAGTAACAACTAATACCATAACAGACGGTCTTGGAATCTTCTTCCCTGCACAGCAATAAACGTAGTAGAATAATCAACTTTTTTTTTGTTTCGATTTACAACTCACCGTAAGTATACGGTTCGTTAACAAGCAGTAAAATTGATTATAAGTCCAAGTATCGATCCCAAAAGGATTGAATTAGTTCAAATCAATCTATTATGATCTTAACCGAAACACAAAAGTAAGATTTATGTATTGTGATTTAACTAAGGAAGATGTGAACTATGATGTAATTATGAGTGAGAAACTTATATTAAATACAAAATGACCTGGACACAATCTATGAGAATTTATGGAATTAATGAATTTATTAATGCATTAGAATCATGAATTCTCAAGCAACACCCGTTCAATTTTCAATTATGCAAATTTGACGCACAGTCCCACAAATGATGAATCAATATTCCTATTTTAATTTAGCAATCTGTCTCGAGTAATGTCAAACCTACCCAAATCTATGATTCGACTATATCTCTATGACGAATACTAACATACAAGACTGCATTATTATTTCATGAATATCCAACAATTCCCATAAGGCATAGAGGTATATTTTTATCTCCTATCAGACCTTATAATCATTTATACTATGTCTAGCCTATTTTCCTTCTTTCGAATGCATAAAACAGGCCACCCAAAATCATATAAATACATGCACAATAATAATATGGAAATAAAAATGTATAAATCATTCAATTCCGAAACATGTGTTTAAATAAGTCAAATCTCCAAATCAAAAATCAAAAGTAGTATTGCAAGTTTCATCGATCTCCTAACAATGAAAAATCTAGCCAACATGCTAAAAAGAAGAAAATACAAAAATAGTTGAAAAAACGTTATCACCCAAATCAAGTTTCAATCAAATTTTCAATTGGAGCGATGTTTTCCTCTTGTTCTCTCTTCGTTTTCTCCTTCAAAATCTCTCTTTTTCTTATAAAATTGGCGTCCCCTTCATTCTAGTCAATTTTTTGTTATATAGGACCCTAAAAATCTTGTTTCTATAAGAGTTTCGACGAAATAAGAAAACTGCGGATTCGGCCTCGAATTGCTCTATGATGCTCTATGCGGTCGCATAGAGTAAAATTTTTTTGAGAATTGATTCTCGGTCTGCCTACTTTGCGGTTGCATAGTGCTACCAACTATAGAAAAAGTCTATTTTGGTCCTTCTACTTGAATCTTTCACTTCTTGGCATCTTTTCTTCATTCTTTCCATTCCATCATCCCAAGATATTATCAGTTTACATTTGGATTAATCAATTTCTTGATTTGTTCATCGGGTCAACTTTTGGGTAATTGCACCTTGGTCCCTGAACTTTCACTTTGCTTCATTTTAGTCATTTTTCGCGTCTTTTCTCTTGAATTTCACCATGTTCATCAGTGTTCCCTACAATTCACAAATGTAATGAAATTAAGTCACAATTCAATCATTTTACTCGTAATTAAGTCATGTTTGTGACCTAAATAAGTGTGCAAAAACACACTTATCAAACCCCTCAAACTTGAACTATTGTTTGTCCTCAAACAAGATAGTGACTTAATTCTGAACAAATATGGCTTAATACCCTGCTGTGGCGTAGGATTGGACTAAGCATTTGACTTCATGAAAATTTATCAGTGCAAAAATGACATCAACCTTTACATGTTAAATGCATATTTGACGTGTATGTGTGAATTCATGCCAACATATCAGGGTCATGATGAATTTGAGTCCCGAACCCAAGTGGTCAAATGTATCCTTACTCGCTCGAGAAATACACAACCCCCCAAACTTATTCTTTTCACTCAATTATCTCGGGGTTGTGTTTTGAGATTAGGAATTTACATAGCTGTAGTCCTCAACCTCTCGTAGTTTGGATTGATCTCACTATCACAAGTTTACATTTCAACAAGTGAAGGCTCTCCCAGATTTGATTGCTTTGACACTCAAGACTAAAATAGGTTATTTGTCTCGCCTCAAATGTATAGTTTCCTCAACCAAATGTCTAAGGGCTTTTCTTCATGTTTTTGTCTCTCTTTTGTTTTTTTTTTCTCGCTTTCAATTTTTTTTTATCATCATCATCTCATTTGCTTTCTATACAACCCATGTAACGAGCTTCAGGCCAGTGACTCTTAAACCAGTTGGCTTTAGAGTACCATGTTTTAAACCATTGCAGGCTTATTCACTCGAGTTATAAAGGTTCGATCAGACGACTCTTTATTAACCTCTTTCCCTCTTGCTTTTTATATGACCCATGTAACGAGTTTTGGGCCGGTGACTCCAAGGCCAGTTGACCTGAGGGTACCAGATTTTGAAATATCCTTACATGCTTACTTGCTCGAGTCATAAAGGCACGAAAAGAAGTGTCTTATTCCGACATATTAATTTTATGCCCTTTGTTATTTTTCTAGACATTTAGTTTCCAAAATCAACTCCCAATTTAAGATTTTTACCTACTCTTCACCCCACTGGTCTAGGTAATCCACACAATAAAATTCATGCATAGAGCTCCCACTCATCTCAAAGCTCTCCTATACTAGCTCAACCATCATCAAACTGTCTTAAGGTAGTTTACGGGTTAATTCAATGGAGGGTTATCATTCTTGTCCTACTTTATGTTCAAAATCCAGTCATTCGCCTAACATGTCAAGCATGAATAGCGTGCATAGATAATGTCAAGTGTTACATCAATAAGTATTAGTTAGTCTAATTAACACCAGATCCAAAGTTTTACAGTTTAAACAAGTCCAATAATAACATCATAGGTAGTAAGGTTATCAAGCCCACACAAGCATGCATGAAAAGAATTAAAACAAATTGAATAAAATGCCCAAAAAAAAAATTTAACATTCATCATGCATGCATACATTATGCAATAATGGAATACAGATACTGATGAACACAGATAACGATTTAAAATTATATCATCCCCCAAACTTAGTTAATACATTGTCCTCAATGTAAGATTAACGAAGGATTAAAGACATAATTTTAAGGACAAAATGAAGAAGAAAAATTCAAATGGGGTAAACAGTACTCCCTTGATTAATATGGTGGCTGTGGTGGAAGGCTGGGTGCTGCAGCATCATCTCCAGGAGGTGGAGAAAGGCAGGATAAAATCTCTCTCAATATGTCAGACTGCTGGGTCTGCTCCACCTGCATGGCCTAAACCCTGGTCTCCAAACTCCTTAAACGGTCCCATGTCTCATTCACCCTCCACTGTATGCCATTTTTCATGCTAACGTACATTCCTAATCGCCCATCAAGTGTACTCTCTCTCGTCGCACAGTAAGGGACTCACTGCTGGCATTCACTGCGAAGTTTCTTGTGGTTGCCATATCATTCTGCACCTGCTGGATGGTGGTACTCATTGCTCCAAATGATTGCTGAAAACTCTGCATGTCTTGGCTGTGTCCTGTCATAGTGGCAAACATCTGTCTCAATAACTAGGTATCCATGTCAACCGATGGTGGAGGAACTTGTGGCAGTTTGAAGTCCTCAGCTGCTTGTCCTTCCTCAGCCTGTTGCTGTCGGCGTCGCTCGTTGTCTAACTTCCGTTGATGTTTAACTCTGGCTCGGTCCTGAGCCTCTAGTGTGAGGCGCTTGATATAGGGACTTGGTTTTTTTTGGTGCCTCCATAGGCTAGACTTGTATGCCTGCAGCTCTACATATCCCACTTATCAAACTTGGGAAAATCAGCGAGGTGTGTCTGTCTCCCCATGTGCCTATAATATGTATTTGGTTGTAGATGTAAGTGGCTAAGTCAATCTTGTTTCCCTGAACTAAATAATAGATAAACCTCACCTTTTGATTTGTGAATGTCGTCTTATGGGAAATGGGCTAGATGTTGTGGCATCTGAATAACCATAGGATAGCGATAGATGGGGTGAGATCAATTTGATATCAATATGCAGTAGGGAGAGGCCAAGCATTCTCATGTCCCAATAATACTTCTGCAACCTCAATCCAGTTAAAATTATGTGGGACTGGGACCACATTATTCCAAATTAGCTGATAGTAGTCATGAATTACTTCTGGTGAAAACAGGATCCATTTACCCTGAACCCATGTTTGATGTAGATAATCTGATCCAGGCATGTCGATTTCTGTATTGAAGTTGGCGTAGAACTCCTTCACCAGATTTTCATATACTGGATGAGGTCTTTCAATTACTTTCTCTCAGCCACAGTTGTGGATTAAATAAATCAATTCAAAATCGGGGAAATCGTCCAACTTAATTGGCCTTTCGAGGATGAGTGCCCACTCATGGACAACATTGGCGTAACGGGCTACTGTGTCTGAAGATAGAAATCTCCTGACACCTCCTTCAGGCTCTCTAGTCCGGGCTGTGCTAGATGTAGACCCAACCTTCTCTTTTCCTTTTGATGTTATTTCTGGAGGCATCCTTCAAAGGTACAAAAATTACATTTATTAAACTTGTTAAAAAATGAGAGATGGAATGAGATTAGTAAGGCATGTATTTCACAAATCCCCCAAACTTGCTTCAACATGCATATATACCACATTGGAGTGCAATCTTCAAAACATGATATTCAAGATAGTGTAAATAGTGTGCCAATATGAAAAACTAAGAAAACTAGGCCTAAACATGCACATTTGAAAAATTGGATCCATGACCGAGTGCGCATGTTCGGCCTCGAACATCATCGAAAAATATCGAAATCTTCCAAGGCAACCTCTAGACACATGAACG